CAGCCAGAGTTTGTCGGGTGAGGCTATGCACCTCTCTGAGCCTCAGTTTATTTGTCTGAAATGTGGGTCCCGATGGTATCCGCACGAGAGTCATTGTGAAGGTTAAGGCAGCACAGCCAAAGCACAGCCCTGTGTACTTGGTGCTTTAAAAACGTTAGCTTTACAGTTTGGTGAGTCGTGTCTGGGGTCATAAAGCTTGTAAGCAGCCATCTGAGATACAGCTATTGGCCTCTACTTGTCCGGAGCAAAACAGAAAGAAGGAAACCAAAGACTCAGAGAAGAAACTAGTCTACAGGACAGTCGACACAAACCACAGCCTCATCTACCCTGAGACCAGAACTAGATGGTGCTCAGCTACCACTACCAACTGTTTCGATCAGGGCCACAATAGATGGATCCTGTTAGAACTGGAGAAGAATGTGGAACAGAACCTCAAATTCGTAATAAATCCAGACTTGTTGGACTGGTTGAGACTAGAGGACTCCTTGAGACTATTGCCCTGAGATAATCTTCGATCCTTGAACCGAAACTATCCCCTGAGGTTACTTGTTAACTAAATAACAGAGTGGCTCATAAATTAAAGAATATCACCCATAAGTACTGCGCTCCTTTAAAAAAAACATCTATATGAGACCAAATGGTCAACATGAGAAAGTAAGGGACAGGGAAACTAGATTACTGGAAATGGAACAACCGGAATGGAATTAACGAGAACGTTGACACATTGTGAAAAGTGTAACCTATGTCGCTGGACAATTTGTATAGATATTGTTCAATGGGAACCTACGTTTGCTGTGTAAACTCTCACTGAAAACACAGTAAAGTATTGTGTAAAAAAAAAAAGTTAGCTTTATTAGCTCGCAGAGGCCATGTCCATTACATGTCTGTTCTGTGGCATTGTAGCTTTTTGGTGACCCTCCTGGATAATTAAGTTGAATTAGCTAAACTATTTGACTTAATGGTCTGAGACTGGAGGGACCCCAGAAGACATGGCCCCCGGACTCTCTGTCAACCCAGAACTAAAACCATTCCTGAGGCCAACTCTTCAGACAAAGATTGGACTGGACTATGGGACGTAAAATGATACTCGTGAAGAGTGTGCTTCTTAGCTCAAGTAGATACATGAGACTAAATGGGTAGTTCCTGTCCGGAGGTGAGATGAGAAGGCAGAGCGGGTCAGGAACTGGTTGAATGGACACAGGAAACCCGGGGTAGAAAGAAGGAGTGTGCTGTCACAGTATAGGGAGAGCAACTAGGGTCACATAACAATGTGTATGAATTTTTGTATGAGAGACTACTTTCACTTAAAGCACAATAAAAAAAAAAAAAAGAAGTGGTTTCCTTTCCACCCCGGCTCCCTGTGACCCCTCAGACACTGTGCTACTCTCTCAGGGCTTGGGGTCCGGGCTGAGGATGGTGACAACCCCGGGGAAGACACGCCAAGGATAGGGTGGTGCCCCTGACTGCTCGAGGGGACCTGGCCCCCCGCCCCCAAACCAGGGCCCTGCAGGCGGGATGGGGCCTGAGAGGGGGCTACCTCCCTGCCCCAAGTGTGGGGAAGGTTTCAGCACAGCCTCCCACCTGAGCCCGCGCCACACTGGGGAGAGGCCTTGCGTGTGCACTGCCTGTGAGAAGGGCTTCAGTGACCCCTCCTGCTACGGCGCCCACCAGCGCATCCACTCAGGCGAGCAGCCCCACACGTGCCTGGACTGCGGCAGGGGCGTCCACGGGCACCAGTTCTCCACAAACGCTGGCGGACCCACACCGCGGAGAAGCCCCCCACGTGTGGCTGGTGGGGAGAGCTCTCTCCGGCAGCATCAGCGGGGGCTCACCAGGAAGCCCACATGGCAGGGGGCAGAAGCTCTGACCAGCCGCTGGCCTCAGCCCTGCAGACTTCAGGGCTCCTGGAAAATGTTGGGGCCAAAGCTGACCACAACACATGAAGCTTTCCATTTACAGGAACCTTCGAGAATTCCACGGTGGCAGAATTCACGAAGCCACCACGGTCACTTGCAGGGAACCAGAAACCCTGCTCTCAGAGCAGGTTCATGTGGGTCGGGTTTGCCCCAATGAGCGTGGCACTGAGTGCAGCCTGAATGCCAAGCGGGGGCAGCACGGGGGCATCGGTGGTGGCTGCTTATGGGGTTACCGTCCCCGGCCTCGCCTCCATCCTTGGTCTCCAGTCTTAACTGGGGTGTCAGCAAGGAGGCAGGTGTGTGGCGGTCACTTCGCAGCTTCTCGTCTCGTTCAGGGTGGGGACGCCTGGCGTGGAACACGAGATCCTATCCTTGTGACCACCCCTGGTCAGGTGAGGAAGCTGGGGTTCGATCGAGCTTGACCCCTCCCCCAGAGTCAGAGTTGAGGGCTGCCCCTCTCCTGGGCCAAAGGGGACGGAGCCTTCCTTGGATGCCCCACTGGGGCTTTCTAAGGCACGAAGCTCACCTTTGAGCTTCCGTGTGGACTCCAAGGCGTGTGTCCCCTCTTACCTATTCACATCTGTCAGGTGAGTGGCCGGAGGCGCAGCATGGAGTCCTCATTTGGTTTCGTCATTGCAGCGTCGTGGGGCAGCTGCTGAGCAGGGCCTTCCGGACCGTTCCTGGCAGGCCAAGCCGCCGTCCTGTGGCAGGTGGCCGTGCCCTCACGCCACCCTGCGGTGCTCCATTCACTTTGTTTTGGGGCAGTATTTTATTGTGTTTTTGGTGAAAGTTTACAGCAAATTAGGTTGTCATTTGACAATTTCTACACTTTCAGTGACATTGGTTACATTCTCACAATGTGTCAACATTCTCTAATTGTGTTCTGGCTGTTCTATTTCCAGCACTCTACTTTCCCTGTCCCATATCACGCTGCTTCGTTCACTGTGTGTCCCCAGTCCCTGTGCGTATTTTCACACGTTACCTGTCAGCGCAACCCCGGTCTCTTCATTCCCTCAATAAATGACCCTGTCCTCCCCCGGGGCTGACTGTTCTGGCCCGTGTGTTGTCTGGAGAGTGGGGCCTCCCGGCTGGTGAGTGGTTTGTATCTTCTAGACCAGCTCTGGGGGCTCCTGTGGGCACACGTGGCCCAGCCAGGCCCAGCCGGTGGAGCTCCCAGGAGCTAGCACCGAGCCAGCGCTGGGTCCCAGCCTGGTCTCCCTCTGCTGACCACCCGCACCCCCATGCAGCCCCTGGCCCCTAGACTTCTCATTCAAGGCTCTGGCCAGAGGTGGGGGCCGTCTGGTCGGGGTCTGCCCCCTTGGGAGACTAGAACTGTCTGGCCAAGGCCGGCCGGCTGGGCCCCTTCCAGTGCTTGCTCATGCCCGCATCTGTGCCACACCATCTCCGCCGGGCCGCTGCCTCCAGCCACCTCAGTAGGTCCAGATTAATCCCGTCCCTGCCTGCCTCCCCTCACCCCTCCTCACCGTCATCGTCCTCACGGCCGATGTGTACGGAGGGTCTGTGTGCCAGGCATGAGTCTGTGCTGTGATGCTGCCTCTCATGGGTGGGGAAACTGAGGTACACGGGGTGTGTTAACACCTTGCCCAGGTGGCAGAGCCGGCTCTGGCCCCAGCTCTGAGCTCCCCCTGCCTCACCCGCCCTGCTCACCTGCATAGTGATTCACTCAGCTAGGCTCGGAGCAGAGTTTATTTTCTGTCCCTGTTTCTGAGACATTCAGAATGAACTTGTGGGCACGAAAAGGGGGAGAGATGGAAGAAAAGGGGACTAAAGGGAAAAATCACCTCTGCTCTTGACAGTGAGGCTGGCTGCAGCTGAGGACCTCGGGACACAGACCGCACCCTGCTGTGTGCGTCCCACGGAGGGGCGGGGGCAGGGGTGGGGCTCTGCAGGTCAGGGGAGCTGGCCTCAGGAGACAGAAGCTGTGCAAATGAAGACTGCCCCTTCCTGGGACTTGGGGGCTGGTAGGGGGGTGGTCCCCAGTGTGGGTGGGTCAAGTGGAGTCTGGAGTGTGGTGATCTGTGCCAGGTCTCAGCTGCCTGTGGCTGGCGTTCCATGAAGTAGCCACTGGCAGAGGCCAAGCAGGGCCTGTCCCTTGCCTGGTGCTCAGATGCCACATGTCTGCTGCCTGACTGGAGGTGTGGTGGGACCTGAGGCAGGTTCTCTGCCCTTTCCACGGGTTGGGGCACAGGGAGGGCGGCTGCGACACAAGAAGCAAGCAGGGACTCCTTGGGCAGGAGGACGACGCGAGGCTGGGAGCACGGGTCAGAGCGGCTCTCTGTAGAGGTGGGCGGTGGGGGTAAGGTGTGCCCGGGAATGACAGGGTGGAGACCCCAGACCCCCCTGTGGGGTGGGGGCCTTGGCGGGGAAGAGGGGCCCCAGCAGTCCCCAGCTCTGGCTGGTTATCCACACAGGACAGAGGTTCCAGTTGCTAGAACATTCCATGTCTCATCCATGTTTGTAAGGTCCATACCCCCTTTGATTTGCCCTGGAGCACCCTGGAAAATATGTGTGCCTTTGTATCTTGGTTAAAGAGAAAAAAGAGAAAGCAGATGTTAGCCCTTACCCCGTTATGGAAGTGTGTGTGTGTGTGTGTGTGTGTGTGTGTGTGTGTGTGTGCGCGAGTGCGCGCGCGCGCGCGCACGCGCATGTATCCAGGGACCCAGAAGATCAGGCTAAATCTGTCAAGATGCTTAAAGCCTTTTCTTTCTAAAAGAGAACTTGGCTGATGGAGATGATGAATGTTGAGGAAAGAAAGAAGATGCAGAAACGGGGACAGACAGACAAGGCTCTGACCATCCAGCGCCGTCAGAACCAAGCCATCCTGTGGGGTCTTTCTGCCCAGTCTCAGAGGATGGGGGTCACCTTGTTTCCCGTGAGTTGTTACCCAGCTTCAGGTAGTCAGAAAATTCTGACTGGATTCTAATGGACACTCGGGGGGGGGGGTCCCTGCTCGACAAATCACGCTCCCGGGGGAACATGGGGGAGAAGATGGCTCATTGGGCCGGTGTGTCCATGAAAAGTCAGGTCTCCCGCCACCTCTCCAGGTCCCGTTACCTGAGGCGTCTATGGTTGGCCCAGTGGAGGCAGAAGGGCGTCCTTGGCTGTCGCTGGCCCAAGAGGGCCTCCCAGGGCCCTGGGACTTCCTCCTGGGAGTGTGGCCGGGGCGCCCTGCCCCTGGGCCCAGAGTTTGACGTGTTGCTTCCTCCTCGTTCCCAATCCGGCCGTATCTTCAGGGGCCTGAGCCTTTTGGCCGCTGGGACCCTCGCCGGCCCTCAGCTTGGGCGCGGCCGCCCCTCTGCGGAAGGCCCGGAGCTGCTGGAGCAGCTGGCTTTTCCCGGTGCAGTCCCTGTGACAGTGAAAGGACCTCGGTCAGCGCCACGCGGAGGCCAGACCTCCCAGCTTCACCGCTGAAAAAGGGGAAAGGCAGCTCCTGCGGTAACATCGATTCCTTGGGAACGAAAGTAAGGATGTGATTCAGGTAACCTCGGCCACGTCTGGGTCCTGCCTGGGAAGCTGGGGTCCCGTGACTGGTACTAGTGGCTTCTGCTCAGTGCCCTTAACACGCGGAGCAGACCACCCGCCTCCCTTGACCCCATGCAGCTGGCAAGACAACTAGAACAGTGTCGCCTCTGCCTCTCCCGAGTGGCCTCCCTGAGTTTAAGGCTTTGATCCTGGTTAAACCGACTGCTGGAAAATTCTAGAAGGAATGTGCAGACCAGAGAGGTCTTTGTTGCAGGAGCTTTCCAGTGGAGTTGGGCTGATTTCCCAGTCAGCGTTGGGGGGATGTTCGGGTCATGTCAGAGCTGCCACTCCCTGACTGCTTTCCATGTACCCCACCCTAGAAGAGGCCCATTATGAGTGGACTCCTTTGAGGAAGTCCTTACAGATGGACACATCTTGGTGAGATTACGTGATTGGCTAAAGGCCACCAGGTAGTAAGAGGCGCGAGCTGGGTGCCCAGCTCCAAGAGAAGGGACTGTGCTGTCCCCTGCTCCTCAGGCCAGGAGAGTGGCACTTCCTGTCAGATGCACTGCCCTCAGCTCTGCAGCCTTGAGAAACACAAGTCCTTGCCGTGGGTGGTGTTGAGAGGAGGAAAAAGACACTTTGGTGGCCTGTCACTAGACCAGACACAAATGCTAAAGCCCGGAGCGCTTGCAGAGTGCTCTCTGGTTCTCAAGATGCTGCATGAAAAGGGATGGTCGCGCACCAGCCAGGTGCCTACTGGCTTGTTAAGGGCTTCCCAACCCAGCTTCTTCTTCCCCGCTTTTCCTCTGATGGCTGTTTGTGTGCCAAATTTGGGGACATTCCCAAAGGGTCAGCTCTGCAAGCTCTGCCATGACAAACCCTGCCACCGTGTGTCATTAGCCCCTGACCTGAGCCTCCCGACTTGGCCGTTTTGCTGTTTAATCCACCCCAACCTTGTCACTTCTGGCTGACACCCATGGCTTTATCCCACCCTACACGTTCTTCTCCTCCACAGCTGCACCAGCTGGGAGCAAGAGAAACGTGCAGCATGCTTTTTCAGGAAGAAGATGTACTGATCCCTTCTCGAGAGCGTGTTAGGGTGTCCTCGATGATGGTGAGGGACAGCAGGCCAGGCTGAGATGGGCACTGGGCCCCAGGTGAGCTCCCCATGGGCTCCTGCACCCCACCGCCTGTGCTGGTCCCTTGGGTGCAGGACCCATGGCTGAAGGCTCCCATGTTAGACATGCCAAGGTGAGGGCAGGCTGGGGAACAGAGATGGGCACCCAGGGTGGCAGGAGGCCCTGTGCCGTCGGGGCCCCTCTGTGGTTACCGGAACTGCTGGGGGGAATGAAGTGCCCCCTCCGCCAGGCCCTGCTGTTCCCTCGCAGCCGCATCCTCCTCACTGTCAGACGAGCTGTGGCTGGAGCTGGGGGAGGAAATGTGGGCTCACCCAGTCCACCCTGGCCAGGCCCAACTTCTCCCCTGGGACTCAGCGCCCTTGGGCCTCCCTGGGAACCAGGGTGGGCAGGCAGAAGCCACCCAGTGCGCTCTGGACGAGGCGTGCTCAGAGCCCAGCCTGCAGAAGTTGTCCTCTGTCCCGAGCCCTCCCCTCCTGCCCAGCAGTGTCTGCTGATCAGACCAAGTGAAACTGTTGGCCTGCTTCCTGTCACAAACACTTCTTAACTGAGAAACCCCCCAAGGACTCCCTCACTCGGGTCATCCTCCTCCCCAAGTCCCTGTGTCTCCCCCAGGGACCACAGCGGCTCACGAGGTCAACATGTACCTGGCTGGGGACAGGCAGCCTGGTGGCCCGGCCTGCCGCAGATCAATGAAGACAGTGGGAGGCTCTGCCAGGCCCTTCAGCCTCACGCCCTGGCCTAGCTTGGCCTGGAAGCCCGGCCTTGTGGAAGTACATCTGAGGTGAGGAAAGTGGAGCCAGAGCGTCACTTCTCTGCGACGATCCTGTGACCACGCTCGGATGTCCCATCCCTTCTGATGCTCACGGCTGCCCAATGGAGTGCCCTCTACGTGCCAGTGCTGAGGTAGGCACTTTAACCCATTTGCCCTTTCACCCTTCAGAACAACCCTCAGGATGGAGACCTGCACTGCCTGGCAGAATTTTTCGTGATGATGGAAATGTCTGCCCTGCCCAGTACGGGAGCCATTTGCCACAGGGGGCTACTTAAATTTACAGCTAAGCTAGTTAAATTGATGAAATAAATAATTCAGTTCCTCAGCAGCATTAGCCACATGTGGCTGGTGGCTACTGTATGGATACTTTTGGTTGCCAGTGACAGAAGCTCAGCCAGCTAGTTCAGGCATGAAGGTGAATTCAAGGGCTCCCAGATTCCTAAGAAGGGTGGAACAACCAAAGTGCGGGCAGGACCAGGTACAGCTAGGCCAAAGGGGATCCCAGTACCCCGTCTCCACCTCTCCCCACAGACTGACTTTCTCCATGTGGCAGGACACGTGGCTGCAGACCACCCTCCCACCCTCCTAGAGACAGATTGAAAATTCCCAGGGAAGGGCTCTGATTGGCCTAGCTGAGGTCAGGTGCCATGGCTGGGCCAATCAACTGTGGCCAGAGGGGCAGGGCCCTGTGATAACCCTGCCCCTCCCAAGGAGGCCATGTGGACAGTGAAGGAAGGTTGCCATGGGGCTTGGGGAAAAAGCAGATGCTTTGAGGCCTGAGTCCCAGCTCTGCCTGGGCAGGTCACCCTCTCTGAGCCTCAATCTTCTCACCTACAAAATGGTTATAACAGTAGCAGCCTCCTGATTGGATTATTTGAGATTAAATGAGAAGATGCACATCAAGTACTTCACCCATAGTAGGCTCAATAAATGCTGCCCGACCAAGGCCAGTTCTAAAAACTAAGGGCCAGTGGTCCGCAGGAAGTCCCACCTGTGGCTGGCCTGCCGCTCTTCAGCATCGTGGGATCTGTCTGCAGCCACCTTCCGGGCAGAGGACAGCGGTCTGGACTGCGCGGCACACAGGCGGGCCAGCCGTCCCATGAGCTGGTCTTGGGTGGCCGGTGCAGTGTGGCCTGGGGATTGTCAAAGGAGAGGGGCATTTGGGGGACTCAGGGCCCCACATGACTCTCACAGCTCAAGCCTCAGACACTGGGGTCTCCTTGTGTGGGTGTCCATCACGCTTGTCCACTGTAGCAGCAAATGGGGACAAGCCAGAGGCCCCCCCCGCCCCTCCCAACCCTCTGTAAGGACTCCGCCTCCGGCTCGGCGTGGCCTGGGGAGAGACAGTCTGAGAGCAGGGCCTGCTGCGTTGGAGCTTTCTGAGGTTGTTGTGGGGTGCCATCGAGTCAGTTCCGACTCACAGCGACCCCATGTGACAGAGTAAAACCGCCCCATAGAGTTTCCTCGGCTGTAATCTTTACAGGAGCAGATCATCAGGTCTTTTCTCTGGCGGAGCCACTGGTGGGTTCGAACCACCAACCTTTTGGTTAGCAGCTTCTGAAGTAGGAGTAACTTACACCTGATTTAGCTAGACTCTTGTCGAATGTGGGTTCTTTCCAGTTTTTCATAATTATAAACAACACTGCAATGAACATCCTCAAATACACATCTTTGCCCACTAGGGTGAGTGTGTGTTTAGGGTGAATTTTAGAAGTGGAATAGCTGGATCAAAGGGTTGTGTGCCTTTAAAATGAAGAAGAGATTCTGCCAAATTACCCTGCAAAGAGGGTGTGGCAATGACAGGATTGTGTGCAGGGCGGACAGAAGGAGCATAAAAGGCGGATTCACTTTCCCCTGGAGAGAGAGAGAGGAGGGGGAGAAGAAAGGAGGACCCAGGGGTGGGGAGGAGGAAAAGGTGTGGGTCCCGGGCAGGGGCCGTCTCTGAAGGGTCTCTCTTGTATCTCTAGGGCCTGGCCCACACCTCACCTATATACTGAATGAGTAAGTGAGTGAATGAATGAAGTCTTTGAAGGACTGGCAGCATCAATGGGCAGGACCACAAGGGGCTGAGCAAGGGGGCAGGGAACATGCACCCATGAAGTCCTGGAAGGGGCTGCCTATGGGCCTTCACCGGGCTCCATGTTCAAGGGCAGACCTCGGCCTTGGCAGTGGTCAACTGCCCGCCATGTGGCTCCGGGTCCTCCGTCTCCCCAGTCTTCCTCTCGTCCCGTCAGACTCTGAAGGATGTAGTCTAAATCCCACTCTTCAAGTTGCTGAAATGATTAAACTGGTGGTTAGAAGCTGTTGCACGGCCCGACTTCACAGTACTGACGGAGGGTGATTGTGGGGTGTTTTACAGTGGAGTCAGGGCTGGAGTTCATGTCAGCATTTGGACGTGGGCTCCCCTGTTCTTTGTGGGTGGCTGAATGAACTGCCTCTGTTAAGGTGGGAGCTGCCTTTCTTGCCACCCCTTTCCTACTGTTTTTTGGGCAGTATTTTTATTTTTGGAGGCTATCCTGGGTGGTGCAAACAGTTAAGGGCTCAGCTACTAACCAAAAGGTTGGTGGTTTGTATCTACCCAGAGGCGCTTCAGAAAAGCCAGACACTGAAAACCCTATGGATAAACAATTACTTTAAAACAAGGATGAGAATGTAAGGGGGCAGGGAAACTAGATTAATGGAAATGGAACAACCAGAATGGAAATAATGAGAATGTTCACGGATTGTGAAGAATGTAACCAATGTCACTGAGCAACTTGTATAGAAATTGTTGAATGGGAACCTAAACTGCTGTGTAAACCTTTACCAAAAACATGATAAAATATTATTTTTTAAAAACCCTATGGAGCACAGTTCTACTCTGACACGTGGGGTCTTCATGAATCAGAACTGGCTCGATGGCGATTGGTTGTTTTTTCTTTTTTTGGCAAAGATGTTGTTTGACCTGGAGGAAGGTCAGTGCCATTTAAAAATTCTGAGGGTTCCTGCAGGTTTAAGATGTTTGGAGGTTATGACCCCACTTACATGAAATACTCAGAATAGGCAAATGCATAGAGACCAATGTTTATTACAGGGTTCTTTCCGGTTCGAACCCCTGCTGAGAATTTGCTTTTCCACTCGAGATAGACTGAATCAGAATCTACAGTTTAACAAGATCCCCAGGTGATTCTTACGTATAATAAATTTTGAGAACCACTGCTCTACTAGTTGTTCTCACAACTGGTCCCTAAGCAGCAGCATTAGCATCGCCTGGGAACTTGTTAGAAATGCAAATTCTCAGCAGGGGTTCAAACCGGAATGAACCAGTCCGAAGCCCAGAGCAGAGCACACACGGATTCAACAGTTTCATTAACATCTGTTATGTTCTTCAAGTCGTGCAAACGCTCTCACTCTCCCTGTCTGAGCTGTTCCTCCCCCACTGACATAAACTCACTGGGACTTTAACTTTTTGAGAAATATGCTTGGACTAAGTCTTGTTCTGTATTTTATCTGTGGTTGTAGATGGTATTTATGTGTTTATAAACACATGCTTGAGGTTAGTATTCATTGTTTTTCCTCTTTAAGGGAGGCTGGGAGCTCCTTCTCTTCCCCCTCGTTAACTCGCCCTGAGGATGGTCTGTCTGCTGCGACCACACCCCTGGAATTGGTGAGCTGCAGGTGAACCCGAACCGGGGCCTACGGTGGTCATGGGCCGGCTAGTTCCCTCCCCAGCGCACGGGGCAGGGGCCCGCGCCAGCAGTAGAGACGCCTACCTGGAGGGAGAGCACCGGCGGGCCGCCCTGAGGTCCCCCTGGTGGTGTCTGCGGTCTTGGAGCTGCCCCGGCAGCCTCTTGGGGTGTTTCCTTTGCCTGTGTGTGGTCGCCGCAGGCTGAGTCCCAGGCCCCCGGGGTTACTTTATGGAGCATGTCCCTCTCTATCATTTTCCTCCTCTCCCGCCGCAGGGCTCTGAGGTCCACGGAAGCGGAGCCTTGGCGGGGTGGTGACGGCATTCTGGGACCCTCCGTCGCCAGGGCTCCCTCTGCACGAGTGGAGGTGGGGGCTTCTCCCTGCGGCCCCCCGGGAGGACTCTGGGGCTCTTTGGTGCTGAAGGAGACACCCTCAAGGGCACCTTCCTGCCCCCGGGGGCTCTCCTCAGGGATCCCAGCAAGAGAGCTGGTCTCACCACGGCCCTGGAAAGGCCCTCGGATGTCCCTTCCTTCCTGAGAGGCCCAGTCCCTGGTCCTGGTCTTCTGCTCACTTCCAAGCTCCGGAGGGAATTCCACAGACACCAGAGCTGGCTACTGGGAAAAACAGGCCCATGCTTAGCAACCTCCAGACATCCCGCAGGGACTGTTTTACTGTTGACCTCAGGAAATTGTCTCCTAAGGCTTCAGAATCGTCCGTGTAGCAGAGGGGAGGGTGTGTCTGGGGAGGGGTGGCCTGGCACAGAACTGCTGTGACGGCTTCTGTTGTTACACCTAGTCTCGACTGCACCACAGCTATACCCTGATGTGAACCAAGGGGCACGATCACGTCTCAGAGACACGTGGCCTTTAAGCATGGCTTGCCTCTGCACAGTGACACAGGGGGCAGTGGTGGGGCAGTGGAAGAGTTCTCACCTTCCATGCAGGAGACCGGGGTTCAGTTCCTGGCCGTTGCACCTCATGTGCAGCCACCACCCACCTGTCAGTGGAGGCTTGTGTGCTGCTAAGATGCTGGACAGGTTTCAGTGGAGTTTCTAGACTCAGACAGACTAGAAAGAAAGGCCTGGTGATCTACTTCCAAAACTCAGACCATGAAAACCCTATGGAGCACAACTGTCTACTTTGTAAGCGATCATGGGGATGGCACAGGACTGGGCAGCAGTTTGTTCCACTGTGTGTGGGGTCGCCATGTATCAGGGGCCAATTCAATGACAGCAAACAACACAATGATAAATATGAATCTAAGACGACACTGGGGAGCTGCCACGAAGACATGTACTTGGTTAGACATGATGACACATCAGGCATCCTGCTATTTAAGTACAAGGAGACAGTAGGCTTACTGCTATAGCAGTGGAGCAATATTTAAATTACCGGGGATGATAACAATAGCTACAGCTTCTCACTGCCTGTGGACCCGGACAGCATGGATGACTGAATCACCTTCCAGCCCCAGGGTGTGGGTCCCGTGACAGCTGCCAGCTTACAAATGAGGAAGTTGAGGCTCAGAGAGTTGCGCATGTTGTCCTAGGCCACATGGCTGTTAAGTGGCAGCCAGGAAGAAATCCAGGCCCTTTGACTCCAAAGCAACGCCGTGGCCTCAGTTGCTGGCAGACCTGCCTGAACCAGAATATAGGGGAAAAAAAGAATCGTGCAGGAGAGCTGCCAAAGTGATTGTAGGAACGAAGAAAACACAAAGTCACGTGGACATTTTTCACCCGAGCTAAGCCGGGGTCTTGTCCACCCGGGGATTTCTCCTGGGTCATCTCAAACAAATGGCTAGGCCTGGCCGTGCGACTTCTGCCACTGTGACAGAGAGTGGACAGGCTGGGCAGAGCGGTCCTGTTCCGGTGCTCGAGCCCCAAGCCTAGTTAATGAAGATGGTGGGTCACTCAGGGCTGGGCGGGGCCGAGGGGATTGAATCTGGAGCTGGTCCAGTTTCCTGGGGCATCCGTACCCCTTTGCCCCATTTTGGAAGAGGGTTAGAGCCTCTGATATGGTTTCATTGGAAACGGGAGGTTTAATCACAACCGCATGGAGAGAGCCGAACAGGTCTGGCCAGTTGGGGGCCTACCTGCTAATGATGGGTTCTAAAGAGGCAGCAGCTCGTTTTCAGCATCCAGCCATTCCCTTTATAGAGAATTCTTGGTCCTAATGGAACTCCTAAGCTAGTGTCCCAGGGCAGTTTCTAATGGTCTTGTGCCTTCTCACATTTGTTCAAGGTTGGTTGTTTGTTGTTGTCATTGTTGGTTGCTGTCAGTCGATCCCGACTCCTGGCGAACCCACACCTGCAGAAGTAGAACTGCTCCGTGGGGTTTTCAGTGCCTGCGACCTTTGGGAAGCATATCATCAGGGCTGTCTTCTGAGGTGCCTCTGGGTGGGTTCCAACCGCCAACCGTTCGGTTAGTAGAAGGACGCTTAACTACTGTATCATTGATTAATTCAGCAGGTGTCTCGGGAGCTCCTGTTTACATACAGGGCTCCAGCCAGGAGGGAGGCATCTCAGGCAGCTCTGAACCCAGCTGGGTTAAGGGAGAGGCATTTATGAGAACCAAGCGTGACAACGGCTCTGCCAGACGGCTCAGGGTGCCTGGTTAAAAACAGGTCAGGGGGGCGGGGGGCAAGAGGAAGAGCTGGAGTAGAATCAGACAGAAAATCAAGTCCCCACCGAGCCCTAAGTGCTGCTGGGCTCCCTGGGGGAGAGGCTGGCATGGTGGTGAGATGTCTGGCTCCTGAACCCCACGGGGTTTGCATCTGGACAAAGAATGGGGGCTTGGAGAGATGCTCCAGCTGCCGTGAGTCAACCTTGACTCCTGGCGCCCCCACGCATGTCAGAGTAGAACCATGCTCCACAGGGTTTTCAATGACTGATTTTTCAGGAGTAGATTGCCAGGCCTTTCTTCCCAGTTGCATCTGGGTGGATTCAAACTTCTACCTTTTTGGTTAGCAGCTGAGGGTGTTAACTGTTTGCACCACCCAGGGACTCCGGAGAGATGCTAGACTTGTGCTTTTAACTATTTTAGATCCAAATCCCTTTTAGGCTCTAACGAGAGCTGTGGAAACACACACACGCATGTACACACATGTACACACATGTCCACACCCCATGCTGCCCTTAGGGCCCCAGGCAGAGTGGATCCCTGAGGCCTGCGTTCCCACAGACCTCACAAGGAGACTTGTCGGCTGCAGCCTCCCAGTGCCCGAACGCGCCATCATCCGCAGGGTCCTCAGCCAGTTCCTCCGACAGGTCAGGAATCAGGGCGGTTTGATCTCGCAGGAAGATGAAGAGCTCCTCTTCCTCGCAGTCTGACTGTGAGACAGAGAGAGAGAGGGCTTTCGGAGTATCCGGCAGTCGGCAGGCTGGGAGAGCCTCAGCCCCCCAGCCCTCCACCCTCGCTGTCCTGGCCTGCCCTGCTGCTCAGAACCGGCCTGGGGGAATCCAGCTCTCTCCCCAGCAGCCTTACCCTGCTGGTTTACTCCATCAACTGAGAAATTGGCTCAGCAGCACCCCCTCGTGGCACTGAGATTCAGGGCTCCGAGTTCTGCACGAACCTACCACACCTGAGACCTTGTATACAGCAGGTGCCCAGTTAATCAGTGGTGGTGGCTGAACAGCAGAGTCCAGCCCACAACCTCCCCCACAACCGTGAGCCACCACCAATGACACGGGGCCTTGGTCTGCCATCTCTAAAGTGGAGGTGCTGACACCCATCCTGCCCACCTCACAGGGTCATCCGGAAGATGAGCTCAAAGGGGATGGAAGATGTGGACATGCTCTGAAAACTGTGGTGCGCTGGCATCCAGTTATCTACTCCCCGTTAGCCTCCCATGCACTGGATGGTCCCTGGGGCCCAGAAGGGTTTGTCACCTTCACCTCTGCAGTTGCCCCAGGTAGAACCTGAACCTGGGCCCACCACCTATAAAGCCCCTGCCCTTTCTCTGAATCCCCAGTCGCAACTAGTTTGCAATGCAGTGCTGGGGGCTCCTGCGCGACGCACTGCCCACCCTGCCTTGTTGCAGAGCCACTATCGCATCTTACACACGTGCTTACATCCACTTCCCAACTACATGTAGAACCGGAACAGCCATTTAAACCTGAATTCAGAGTCGCTTTTTGTCACTGAACATTTTCTTAGTCAGCAGAAACTGGAACACAATCACCACCACGGGGAGGGAGGGTCTGCGGTAGTGCTGTCATCTATCAAAGGGCTTTGTGAATGTTTGCTGAATGACTGCAGGTGATCAATAGTAACAATGAGCAGAACTGAGCACGTAACACAGTGTCTAATGTGGTTGACTTAATCCTGTGACAGCTCTGCAAGGTGCATATACAAGGGTACAGTTACGCCAACTTCTTAGGAAACCGTGGCTGAGAGATTCTCAGGCACTTGCTTACGATTAGACAGTAAACAGCAGAACTGGGGTTTGAACCAGGGCTTTGAACCAGTTCATTCTGGTTCGACACCTGCTGAGAATTTGCTTTTCCACCCCAGATATACTAAATCGGAATCTGCAGTTTAACCAGATCCCCAGGTGATTCTTAAACTGTAGATTCTGATTTAGTATATCTGGGGGAGGAAATGCAAATTCTCAGCAGGGGTTGAAATGGAATGAATTGGTTTGAACCCAGGCAGTGTGGAGCCCCAGTCCTTAACAAGCACGTGATACTCTTGACTGTCTTTTGTTCACACAAAGCAGCCCAGCGCATTTTCCGGGACAGGAAATGTGCCAGGACAGGGGTGGTTTTGTTCATGCTGTTTACTGAGCACCTGCTCTGGGCCAAGAACTGTGCGTGCAAATCCCAGATTTGACCCAGTGAGGATTATCCATGGTTTGCAGCCAAGGAAACAGGTGAACTGGGTATGGCAACCTCGCCCAGGTAACACAACCAGTTAGCAGCTGGGGGGTCTGCTTGATGCTGAAGCCCCTCCTCTTTCCACTTTGCCACTGTGCTGATGCCCACCCTCTGCTTGGCCAGGATGCGGCCAGCACGCCGGCACCCAGATCAGTGACTGTTTCAGTGCATCGCGGTGAACCCTCGGGGGATCCTCCTGCTGGGGGAGAACGGAAGTGACCTGCAAGGAAGCTAGGCACCAAGATGTATTCAGAAAACAAAGCAGAGAACGTGACAGACTGAGAAGAAAGGATGGAGCAGGAAGCAGGAACCCAGAAAACAGGTTGCAGGTAAGGCTGGATGATGTAAAATAAAGTGAACTCTGGCCGCTTCCCTGCCAGTTATGAAAGGTCAGAGGGAGAAGCCCAGAGAGGGAGTGCCACACAGCTGTGTCTGGATCGGCATCCTGTTGTCACTGGAGGGAGGACGGTCAGGGCCTCGGGAGGAGAGCCCTGCTTACCGAGGAGGAATCCGAGTCCAGGGATGGGATCTGTTTCTTGAGGGCCTCGAGGATGGCGTCCCAGGGCCCCATCTGGGGCCCCCAGGGAGAGCCTGGTGTGGGCGGCGCATCTCTGGACGCCATGGAGCCTGGGTCGTGGGGTGCCTTTCAGAGCACCATCATCCAGGAAGCCCTGGGGGAGGACACGGGGTGAGGTGAGAAGAGTCAGGTGGTTGAGGGTCAGAAGATAGGGGCTGCCGTTTAAGCGCATCTGCCACCCCAGAGGAGATGGAAAGAGACTGTCAGGTTCCTGCCTCAGCTTCCCCTTCTGGATCTGCAGCATTCTGTCACCGAGGGCCAGGCTGTGTGCTTGCACCGTGTGTGTAGTGCTACAGGAAATATATATACACACATATTATAGTGTACGCGTGTGTATCTATATGGTAATGTCTACGTGTATATGATATATATACTATATACGATATATAATGACTTACGTATATGATAAATGAAGTATACATGATACACTGTGCCATTTGCTCGAATCTTCCCAATAACTCCAGTGACTATTATTATCTCCGTTTTACAAGCTCAGAGAGCTTACATGGTTAGTAAATGGCAAAGGTAGAACTAGATTCTAAGTGAGAGGGATTTCAAGCCCCACTGCCTCTCACAGAGGAATCCCCAAGAGATTTCTTGTAGTGGCCCCACTTGTCCTGGCCCCTCTGCCCAGGCGCTGGGCTAGCCCCGCCCTGCCCTCTTCTGGCAGAGAAGTGGGGCCTGGTGTTTGGAGAGGGAGAGGCCACCCTGACTCCCTCAGCTGGGGAGGCCCCTCCTGTACACTCCCCAGGCCCTGGACCCTCATGTGTGCCTCTCCCCATAGTCACCGCCTGGTTCCCTTTGGACCAGCACTGTCCAATGGAAATGCAGCAAGAGCTACATCTGTACAGTTTCTGGTAGCCACGTAAAACAACATGAAAAGGAACAGGTGAACTTAATTTTAGTGATATATTTTATTTAACCCGGTATATTCAAAATATTGTTTTAACATGCAATCAATCAAATTAATGAGATATTTCCCATTCCCTTTTTTTGTACTAAGTATTGGGAATCGGGTGTGTATTTTGTACTCAGAGCACATCTTGATTCGGACTCAGCACGATTCGAGGCTCAGTGGCCACATGTGGTTCGTGGCTCCTGAACTGGACAGCACAGCTCTAGACTGTGTGCTCCCTGAAGGCAGGGGCTGTCTTCTTTCTCTCTGTAGCCCCAGCCCCAGTTCAGGGGCCTGGCTCACAGCAGGTGCTTAGCACAGGTTTGATGGTCCAGGTTCCCTCACTGGTTTTTGAAATTCTGATCCTTGGGTCAGACGAGGAGGCTTCGTGTGTGAACATTATCTCACTTAATCCTCACCGCAGCCTGTTGTTATTCCCATTTTACAGACGAGAGGACGAAGGCTCAGGCGGCTAAATGACTAGCTGAAGGTCCCACAATCATAAATGGTGAGCCAGAACTTCCCATACACTCTCAGGGATACTTGAGTAGGGGCTTCTCTTGCTTCTTTTGAGCTCATGGAGGGAGGCAGATGCTTGGGGCACTCTGAACTGGGGGAAATAGACATCGATATGTCTGGTACATCAAACCCACTGCCCTTGATTCGACTGTGACTCAAAGCGACCCTATAGGACAGAGTAGAACTGCCCCATGGGTTTCCAAGGCTGTAAATCTTTATGGAAGCAGACTGCCACAGCTTTCTCCCATGGTTTGAACTGCTGTCCTTTCGGTTAGCAACTTTAACCACTGTGCCACCAGGGCTCCGGTACATACATCAGGGGGTGTTTTGTGGAGCCAGGGCTCTGCTTGGCAATTAAGAATGCAGTATTTCACGGGGCAACAGAATTACAGAGGGGAAAGAGGCTGCCAGAGACAGTTCTGGCGGACAAGGAGAGGGAAAGGCATTGTAAGTAGGAGGAAGACCATGTACCGTGGCTCAGAGGAGTGAAAAATGCTCAACATGGTTGAGGGAAGAAGGTGTCAGTGGCTGGAATATGCAGTGAAAATGGGCCAGAGCGTGAAGGATCCTGAACGCCAGGCTGAGGAGTTTGGCTCATCTAGGCAGCGAGGATTAAGTCAGATGCTGCTGGAAAAGGAAGCTCGGAGTCGTCTCTGAATCCTGACTCCGAATCCATCTCCGTTTCTTGGCTGCAGCCCGTTGGCCCCGCCCCCGCAGGCCGCAACCCCCCCCCCCCGCTTGCCACGAGGCGGCCGGTTGTTATGACAACTAGACGCCAACGGTCTCCGGGCTGAGCTTTTAAATTCTAAAATTGGGAAGCGGGAAAACTTACTGTCTTTTTCCCCACCCATTCCCCAGCCCCTGTTTTCCCACCGTTTAGTCCAATTCTCGACCTTTATTGTGCAGCTGCGGCAGCCCGAGTCCACTCACCTTCGGCCTCCTCCTCCGCCTCCCCTCCCTGCGCGGTCCTGACAGGGATATAATCGCGTCACTGCGGTCTCCAGCGCGTCACTGCGGTCGCGTTCGCCCCCTCGGGCTGGGGTGCAATTATGGCGGTGTCGCCTCCTCTGAAATCCCCCCTCAGGACAGTCCTATACCGCTGGACTTCCAACTCCGTTCCCTCCGCTCCTCTTCCGGGACCTGGCGCATCCTGCCTCTCCTGCAACAGGATTGCTTCGCTTTGCCAGTGGAGGGGGGG